TCGACAAGATTCTACCTCAAATCAGGTCTATTCGACCAGATTCTACTATTCTCAAATCAAGTCTATTCGACAAGATTCTACTTTAACTCATTAACCCTACTTACACTTTGTGTCATCGTCGGCGTCCCAGACGTACTCAGGTTAACTACCAATCGACTTATTGATGAACAGGAAATTTTCTTACCTATATGATGCCTCCCCTGGCTCGGAGACCCGTCACCGCCGGTCTGGATCGGCGCGGTGTCACGCTGTGGACCCTCCGTGCAAAGGCGGAGACTGTCGCGACAGATTTCTAAATGGTCCGCGCCGTCCCGAACCGGTGGATTCTTGGGTCCTGGGTTTCGGCACCAGAGAAATGTTGGGTCTAAATACGACTCCTAGTTCCTCACTATCAAGAGTTAAGTTATTATTCAATAGACCCAGGAAGAGGCATCAGAATAAAAAGGCTTGACACAGAGGATAAGTTTTTCTCAACTGCAGAGGAGGGAGAGACTGTGTGGCCAGAGAATGCCACACATCGAATCTCACCCACATTTCTCTAGTCGTTGATTTTTATTAGACTGATAGTTGCTAAGCAGTGTACATATTATGGGATATGAAGGTATTGGACACCCTTATAAGGTATTTCCTGGCAGTCTGGCTGTTGTTGAAGGCCAGACCTTGGAAGACACAGATGGTAGACAGATGGTAGACAAAACACACATCTCATAGCAGCTTATTCATGGATTTTAGCTTCACACTAATGTAAATACGAAAAATAGCTTCTACACATACACACATGAAAACCAGAGGGCAGCAGATCATGTGTAAATATAATATTTGTGTCATTCTCAATACTTTTGGCCATGACTGTACATTCAAACTCTCCTTTCATACACCTTCTTTCTCTTTCATACTTATGGCATTCTAACATAACATGTTCTATCGTTTCATATCTGTCACAATAATCCCACTTTCCATTATTTTGCTTTCGTAATTTAAAAAGTGTATAATTAAGACCTGTATGCCCTAATCTTAATCTTGTTATCACCCTTCCCTCCTTTCTATTTCTTCTTTCCTTTCTTTTCTCTCCTACTATCTTCTGTATTTTATAAAACCATCTTCCTGTTTTTTCTTCATCCCACCTTTTTTGCCATTTTTCCATCAGTTTTTCTTTAACCATACTCTTTCCCTCAGCTTTACTTGTTTTAACTTTAAAACTAATATTATTATGAATTGCCATTTTTGCCATTTTATCTGCCCTCTCATTTCCTTCTACCCATATATGCGCTGGAATCCATACAAATACAACTACCAGCCCCATATTCTGTATTCTATACCATGTATAAAATATTTATAATAATATATCCATCCTACTATCTGATTGAATTTTTTTTAAACTTAATAATGCTGAGCTTGAATCTGAATATATCACTGTTTTTAATGGTTTTATTTCTTCCACCCATTGCAATGCTAACAATATTGCCAACATTTCTCCTGTGTTTACTGATAACCCATCTGTGCTCCGTTTTACTATTTTTACTTCGACTTCTGGCACCACAAAAGCTACTCCTATCTTCCCATTTATTTTTGACGCATCTTTATAAATTTGAATATATTTATAATATTTGTTTATATGTATCTGTACTGAATATCTATCTACCGTGTATGATTTATCTTGTTTCTTTTCCATTATTGATATGTCTACATTTGCTTCTGGTAAAATCCATGGCGGTATTATTGACATTGGTGTTTGACTTATTTCTAAACTATAAATCTTGAATTCTTTTAATTTATTTCCAATATTCCATCCAAAACTCCTAATTTCTTTCTTTTATTTTTCCCAACATGGATCTAAAATTTCCCGAGTTGGATGATCAATTTTATTGCTTTGTAAATTTAACCAGTAATTTATTTCTAGTTTTGTTCTTCTTAAGTTTAATGGCATTTCTCCCATTTCTACTTCTATTGCAGCTGTTGGTGGGGTTTTAAATGCTCCAGTACATACTCTTAATGCCTGATGTTGAATTATGTCTAATTTATTCAGATGTATTTTAGCTGCTGAACCGTAAACTATGCACCCAAAGTCTATGTTAGATCTTATCATTCCATTATAAATCTGCTTCATTGATTTTCTATCTGCTCCCCAATCACTGCCAGCCAAGCATCTTAAAATATTTAAGATTTTCTTACACTTATCAACCACTTTTTGAATATGTATATTCCATTTTAGTTTTTCATCAAACCATATTCCTAAAAATTTTATACATTTTACTTTTTATAGTTTTTTATTATAAATTTTTTATTTTATTTCCTTGTTTATTCTTTTTGTGAATATCATTACTTTTGTTTTTTCAACTGAAAACTTGAATCCCTATTGTAACGTCCATTTTTCTATTTCAATGATAACCTTTTGTACTTTCTTTACAATATGATCTATATTTTTCCCTCTTTTCCAGACCGCTCCATCATCTGCAAATAATGAACATCCTATTTCTTTTCCAATACCATTAAAC